CATTATTTGAGTTATCTTTGGATGGAAGAGCCAGGAAAAAAAGACTTGGCAATAAAATAGTCAACAACAAACCCTAGAAAATCACTCGCTTGGCAGCATACTCTAAGACAAAGGAAGAAAATGGAAAAGTTGATGCAGTCAAATTCACTAAAATGTCACTTACCAGGTTTCTCCACTAAGCTTTCCAATTATCCTTATAATTGGATATAAATTTTACTCTCTATAATAATTTCAAAAGAACTTAGCATACCTAACCTTGACAGAACTTAGTATATCTTACTTAGTATTTTAAAATAACAAATAAAACCTTTCAATAATTTTAATTAAAAAAAGTTTGAATTATGTAAATAAATATTTGCAACTGAACTTTTTCATTCAAATTAATTCATATAATATAGGTCAGAAAAATCATATACCAGACAATCATCATGTTTATGAATTTATTAAAATTTTAATTTAAATACCTCATAAAATAGAGTTTTAAAAATAAAAAGGAAATTGATACAAAGTTATTAAATTACAAGTAGATTAAATTGTATTTGGATATAGAAAACTAAAGAATAAAATAAGCAGAAAACAACAAAAATCAATAAATTCAGACTGAAATGCATTTAAAATTTAATGTAACATTGTAATAGTATTAAGCCAAAAGGACATCTAGAAAATGGATTGAAATTGTGATAAAAAATAAATACTTAAGTGAGCAGTTCAAATTATGATATTGAAAAGTATACAATCTTAAACACTATTAAACTATATAAATAAATTGTAACTCATCTCAGCACAATATTTAAAGAGGTGAAACAAGCAACATGACATTAAATAATGCAGAAAATAACGAACTAAATAAAATAAATAACAGCCTACATAATAAATCACTTAGATTGAATACCCAAACAATAAAATAAAATCTCTGCTAAATGCATAAAAAAAACCACTATATTATTTTAAAATGAATTTTATTTATTTATTCTTTGCCTTAATACAGTTAAGTATAAATCAAGCAGGAAGAATTAATTAAAATAAGAAAAATACGAAATGATAAAGAAAATTTCTAATTTCATTTTTGAAAAGAGTGTAAGGCTGTAACTAAAGCTTTTCAATTATCTAAATAGTACAAACAATTAATCATAAAAATCAGGCTAAGGGAGTCATTAAAATAATAAGAAACTTCCAAACGATAAAGAAGATTTCTAAACTTATTATTGGAAAAAATAAAAGGTCAAAATTAAAAGTAAACTAACATAAAATTTGCTTATATTGTTAAAATGAAATTAATGGACTATCCCTTATTTCAACTTGCATTTACACATTAAATGAATTCTAATTACAGAAAAGTATGAAAAATTAAAATTAATGGTGAACAATTCATAAATTTGCATGATATTTAGGTGAAAATCAGTCAATGATCCCTCTGCATCATCTTAAAATTTAGAGCTACTGATGTATCTTTAAAAAAAGTTTATTAAAATGAAATCAAATTATGGAATTTTAATGATTTAATTTGGAATTTTAATGATTTAATTAATTTTGATAGATAAATTTCATCGTAATTTTGATAGTTAAATTTGATTGGAACTTTTATTGAATCTTATAAAGAAACATAAAAGTTCTGAACATAAAAGTTCCGAAATCTCAGACATAAACATAATAAAACTAGTATCCTAATGAAAGTCTTGGGCGTTTTGATCTATTTTTAACGAAACCAAATGAATGATCAAATGAAACCAAAACAAAATACATTTATATCCACAACTAGAAAAATTATTAAGCATATTGGGCAAAAAAAAATTTAATGCAAAAAAAAAAAAAAAAATTACTTACCTTCAATGTATGTTTTTAAAGTTGCTTCCCGCATATGCGAAATGTCTAACTCTTTAGCACACCAAAGACATTTAGCTTTTTGAACAGAAGATTAGTTTGCTCTTAGCCAGACCCAATGCTCTTTTCTTGCTATTCATAAGAGGTTAAAAATTCATTTCCACATTTTGAATAATGAAATAATAAGAATTTTAATTAACAACCACTTCAGCTTTGGCGATAAAGAAACATGTGTTGAAGAATAATTAAATGTCATTGATCTTAGATAGCATAACCAGACCACAGACAATTCAACCCAACAAAACTAATTTGACCATAATCCCAAAAAAAGCAATTTTTCTACAACCCATCAGAGAGAGTTGGAAAAACCGGCTTTTATACATAGAGATCCCCTTACTGATCTCTGTACCATGCACGTGTAAGTCATCACAATGGTAGTTTGTCTGAATGCTAAAAACAAAGTTTTTCTTTCATGGAATTCATGACATCAATCAGCATTTTTAAGAAAAAATCTTTTTCTGAAAAAGAGAGCACCCTTTAAAGCTTGAAGAACTAAAAATGTTAGAAATTTTCACTCTTGGCAGATTTGAATGTTCTTTTGAATTAGTAACTTATTACAACAGGGTCCAGTCATTTGATCATAATTTTTCTCCCTTAGACACAATACTTTCAAGGTATTCCTGGGTCTCTCTTATCATCTTTCTCTCCAAGTAAAAAAAATTGAATGTGAAATTTCATTTAATAGCACCACAGCATGCTATTTTCTAATTTCTTCTCCTTAAAGCAACAATCATTAAAGAGAGATGAACATACTAACTTAAAAGTATTTCAAATTTTATTTTGCATTTCTCAACCCTTATCTTACTTATTTCACTGTCCTTTAAATAGAGTGCATCCTATAAAGTGGTAAATAGATTATGGCTCTGATATAAGGGATCTGGATCATTAGAATTGTCCTATAACCTTTTGCTTACAGCGCAGGGTTTCCACTCAATTTTTAAAAAAAATTCAAGGACTTTTAAGCACCTAAAATCAAATTTTTCAAGGATCTATTTGGTATTACAGTTATACGCTAAAGTACATGTCAACCAAATTTTACAATTACGTAGAAGCAGAAATTGTATATTTTTAAAGCACAATGCTTATTTGACAACAAAAAAATATTTATTAAATTTATCAGCAAAAAATACAAATGGTTGATATTTACATTGCTGTTTCAAATCACTTAAAAAAAATTCCAATTGACAAAAAAAATATATCCAATTGACTTACGAATGATACTCGCCAACATTTAAAAACTAGCATCAGCGAAACTCTTCATGAAAAATTTAATGAAGTGGATTAGAATTAAATTAAACTGAATTAATGAATAAGGCATACTACATTAAACAAGTATAGTAAATAATTGATAAAGTTTGTGTGATTGTAGGGTTATTAAAATATAAATAATTTTTTTAATATGTTAGATCAAATTTTAGGTTACGGGAAATGTATATGATTAGATAAAATATCAAAATATATCCATTTAACATATTTTGTTACTTCAGAATATCAGTAATGTAATTTGAACAGAATAAAATCTATTGCAGAATAATATTTTACAGATGACTAACTGAGACTTACCAAGCTTTATTTTCTTTACAATAAATATATCCATAAAATGTAAAGCGGGATTTTTAAAATTTTGTGAATATGAGTAATTTTCACTAAGCATAATTTTTAAATCGCATTTATACGAATCTAGATGTACTACATGTAAATCAAAATTATAAGAAACGTGAAGTTAGTTTCGAAGATTACGTAAATTACGTATCACAATGTGTGATTAGTAAATTGAAATGCGGTGTATGTTTCTTAAATCAGAACAATATGAATAGCAAATTAAACAAAACGCACGAACTAACAAGATGTAAATCACAATGTGTGATACATAAATCACTTTAATGTGAATTCTGTTGGGTGATCAGCTAATAGTTTTCATGCGAATAGTGATCATTATGATGCAAATTGCAATTTGTGATTCGAAAGGTGCTTAATATAGAACAGCTATATGTGATTCTTAAATCATTTTGATGAGAATTGTGACTGGTAATTCTTAAATCTCTCTTTTGTGAATCGCAATGCGTGATTTGTAAACTATTAGAATGAGAATTGTGAGGCATAATTCTGAAATTACTGAAATACGCATCACATTATATGATTCAGAAATAACTTTAATGTGAATCATGATGTGCGATTTATAAAATACCTTAATACGAATTATGATGAGTAATTTGCAAACCACTTTTAAGCAATATACGATATGTTCGATTTGAAAATCGCAATTCATAGAACATTTTATATGAATTCCAATCCGAAAATCAAGAATCAATTTAATGTGAATCACAATGCTTATTCATAATCAATGATACCTGTATAATTAAATTTTATTTATTATCATTAAAAACTAAATGTAAAAATTTGAATATAAATGATAAAAAATTAATTATCCTTCGTATATAAATTAAAAGAACAAATAGGATATAAATATTAACCAGTCGTAATAATGAAGGTAACACATTGAACATATATGTAAATTGATTAAGCACTATATATAATTCAAAATCTGACTACAAAACCTAAAAGTTGCTAGAAATTTCAGTTTTCAAAACATCAGAGATGAACAATAATCTGGTGTAAAAAATCTAGGAGAGAAAAGTTTTGCATCTTCTTTAACCCCCTTTCACTTCAAGCATTAAAAATTGCATCTGTTAGAATTTCTATAATCTTCCTTTGAAGTTATTTATTATTTTTTTACTGCTTTTTTGTAAGAAAGATTAGTATTATTTTAAATCTTAAATCAAGTACTTTTCAAGTACCCTATAGCAGAATTCAATGACTTTTTAACAAAATTCAAAGACTTTCAAGTACCAGGGGAACCCTGATGTGCATCAGAATGACAATACAATAGAGATTGTTTCTTTTCAGGAAGTACTAATGTACGTTATTTTTTATATAGATTAATATCCATACATATCAGATAGTAATAAAAATCATTCGCTTACAAAATCAAAACAATATCATAAATTTGCCATTTTAAAGATAATTATTTAGCAAAATAGTTATTACTCAGACATGCAAATAATCATTCTCAAGCACAATATTGCAATTTCAATGGGTAAAACAATTAAAACTCTTACCTTCATGAAAGATTCTTTACTAGTTGGACCACAACATATTGGCACTGACTTACGCCCATCTAAAAATAAATTAGAATTTCAGTTCAAAAATTTGATGACATGCATATTTACTAAAAATATACTAATGCAAAAGATAAGCAAAAAGTAAACTATTCCATTTTCACTTCCAGTGAATTTGCATAACAATGCAAAATTTAATCCATAAAAGTAAGGTTAGGCTTTATACTTATATTTAAGATAGATATGAGTTTAAGTTAATGAAATTGTTATAGTAGTTCAGATTATATTTAGAAATTAGTGTACACAAACTAGTTACAACGATGATATAGAAAACATAAATGTAAAAAAAATTTTTTTTAAAAATTGCAAAATTACACATTATTTTTGGAATTATAAAAGAAAATTACTACTGAAATTATAACATTTAAGGCATAATACTTGTAGATAGTTTTGTTTTTATTGATACTTCTGTTTCTGTCCACTGACAACACTCTAGGAACAGGCATTAAATTTTTGAAAATCAGATTATTAAAGTATGCAATATCAATTTATGTTTAGAGGTCAGTATTTTTTAAGTACTCTAAATGAAAAACAATATGCACAGATATTATCACTTAAATTGTTTTTCTATAAATTACAAGGCTGAAAATCGGGGTAATAGTGAGAACTGACTGTTTACAGACACGACTTATAACATTTGTGGAAAAGTTTTAAACAATAAATTTAATAAATTGGTAATTTTTATTAATTTCAACAAAAAAATTATACTTTTTATAACAAATATTAAGTCCTAGAAATCCCTGTCTCTTCTGTGAATGACAAACGCACACACATATATATTTCGCTCATTACAAAGTTATGCCAGTGTTTATTGTAAAAGTCGAGACAATCTATCATAATATTCAAAATCAATATTACTTTAAATGTATAAAGTTAATTACCTTTAAACTTTTGTACAAAAAAAAAGATAAAAAGAACTAACTATTCGTTGAGTGAAATTAGATATTTATCTTATTTCAGCCTCTTTTTTTATTTTGGCAGATGATCATAAAAAAATATCCAGTTATTACCAAAAACCACACAGTATCTCGAAGGAAAGTAATAGTGAGGAGGGGTTAAATAATTTTGATAACTAAAATTATTTTTTGGTTGATGCCAGTATGGTGACATTGTGACAAATGTCGCCAAATGATATACGAATGCCGCTAAAATCATATGCATGGAGGACAATATTGCCACCTAGAAATATGTTTGACAGTTACAAAATAGTAAAGAAAGTTTTATTTTTTCCTCAAAATTCCTTGAAAAAAAAATTATGGTACATTAATTTTATTCCATGTGTAGGTTAGGTTTTAGTTTTAAGATTTTTCAAATGGAATAACTGTAATTTTTAAACTTTTATTATGTTGCTCATTGATATATGTGAGGATAGCAATCATAATGTTTAGATATATTTCAGATGTGTGGTACCTTAAACTCTGGTATTTTTTCATGTAATGACGGTGTACTTTTTCATCAATAAAACATTTTTTTTTTTGCTCTTCTAAAATTTACTTATATATTATATTTTAGAATTTTTTAAATTAATATTTTCTCAATTTTACTTTCCCTGCTTACCTCATTCATTTATTCATTTGATCTAATCATTTGTATCTATTAACTAATATTATTTTTGCTATTTTTTCCACTTAATTTTAATAAATTCTAATCTTTAATCATTGTGGAATAATTAAACTAATTAGTTTTAGGGTGTAATAGATGGCAATTAAAAACTTTTCATATGTACCAAAACATGAATCATGCAATCGTAATGTTCGATATTTTCTTCTCAAGTTTGTCTACCATATTAATTTTTTGAACTACTAAATGATTGTCTAATTGGACCACTAAACTTCCATTGTTGGTGAGAACCCTACTTATGCATATAAGTTTTAAATTCTTACTGAAAACAGATATTACTGGGTATACAGATATTTAAAATAAAATTAATAGGATAGAAAAAAAATTCCTAACTTTTAGGTGGTTAAAGAAAAGCTACAATAAGCAAGTATGAAAAATAAAAATCACCTTTAATAACTTATTGTTACTTAAAACCTTTTTTACCATGCCTCAAAATTAAAGAGTGCACTAAAATGTTAAGACCTAGATAAAAACTCATTTAAAAATATAAATACTACAGTTACCTTAACAACTACCTACCTTAACAGTGACATATATTTCAGAAAAATGGACCGAAAAAGAATTTTTTTTGACTGTTTAATTTTGTTCTTTATATTTATTAAAAGTTAGAAAATGGTTTTTTATTACAAAAATAAAATTTTAAATGCCATAACTACCGCATTTATAATTTTAATATACACATAAAAAAGTAATGGATTACACACATCTTATTCAATTAGAGCAAATTAAAAAAAATTTGAAACTAAAAATATTACTATTATAATATAATATAAAGCACAACAATATGATTTTCAATACATTAATTTTACAAATCTTTTACAGTATGGTAAAGGCCAAAATCCCAGCCCACATGTCCCTCCCTCTTCTGAAGTCGTAATCGGTGAAAAACTTGGGGATCACTAATGCCATCTATTAGGAAAATGGAAAATAGTTAATTAGGTATCTTAATGTAAAAACGTTTGGCTTCACAAAATAAAAACGTTAATTTTTCTCCTGCTTGAAGTCAGTTTGGGCATCAGAAATATGCACGTAGTAGTTGCCCGAACTGGATTTGGGCGACAAGAGGTTAATAATGATATTAGGAAAAATTATTCAATAAAAACTAGAGTTACAAAATTTTTTAAAATTATTTATAACTTTTTATCTTGTTCGCCTTCCTTTCATCTTACATTAAATATTTTTTGAAAAGACAAAAATTCACCTGAAGTCTGAAAACTTTCACCCTTGAACAAAATAACACACTCCATACATAACAATCACAAATATTTTTTAACAAATTTTTTCACGCAGTAAATTGAATTTAAATATGTAATTACAATAGTATAATAATAATGATTATAATTATATAATAATAATTACAATAGTATAATAATAATAATAAAATATATTTTATATTTGTTAATAAATGATCAGTTATATTCACAGATAATTTCTGACTCATAGGAAATATAAAAAGTTAAAAGTAGTCTATAACTACATTTATCATTTCATAGTAACACACATATTTTATTATAAATTTAATTCCTATTGTGTAAATCATGTTGAATTTATATATTTATTAGCAAAAATAATGTGAAACATTTAAAGGAAATATTTTTAATTAGTTCTATAGAGTTTGTGCTAGGCAGAGAACTTCCCAAGTATCAAATTTTAATCTAACTTGAAAAAGTAATTGAAGAATAGTTCAGAAATTGCTCAGAAGCTCTTTAATCAATTTAGTTTCTAATTTTATAAAGATAACTAAAAACTTAAATTTTTTTTCAATCATAAAATGAAATTTAAAAATAAAATTTCTTTTTTTGCAAATTTAGTTTGAGTAAATGAGTTATAAAATTAAAAAAATTTTTGATTTGAGAAATAAAATTAAAAACTTAAGAAAAAATGCTAAAATAAAAAAAAATTACAAGGCATAAATTTAAAACAAATCTCCTGATTAAACAATTAGGGTCACATTTTAAGGATTTTAAGCAGGAGGTTAAAAATTTGAATTCCTTCAAGGAAAAAATAGCACGCTTAAGAGAAAGCGTGGTTTTGCTTTGGATTCTACAAGTTAAGAGTTGGATGAAATAAATTAAAATATTCAAAATGTGATATTTTAATAACGAAGACTGGGTTTTAATATGTGAAAACACAATCTATAGATAAAAATTGAAGGGAATTTTTTTCTTTCGATTACATGCAGTTTAAATAGCTATTACATTCCAAATAGCTAAACCTTTTTCAATCTAAAGCTTGTTTAATACTAAAATATATTTTTTAATAATATAAAAATGACACTTAATAAAGGATGAATATTGTTAATTAATCACCTAAATCATATAGCTTGGAGTTGACATTGACAAGAGCAATGAAATGCAAGTTGATTTCATCATCCACACCAGGTGCCTAAAAATAAGAAAATAGTTGCTATATCATAAAGCAAACAAGTAAGAAATATCATCAAGCAAATAAGTTACACCCTGACTTATTATCTTATATCTTAATCTCAGCTGAATTTGCCATTAAACATTTACTTTACTAATTAAAATTTTTACTTTTTACAAATTTTAGAAAGTAAGAATATTCCTTTAATTTTATTATTTTAAAATGTTTGCCTAGATCACAGGAGAAACTCGTCATGGCATATTCCCTTCCTTATACATGAATAAGTTAAAATTTAAAGTATAGAAAAAAATGAATTCAGATATATCAAGAATAAACTATGAAGTTTTAAATAATGATCTTCTCTTCTTTCAAATTGAAAACAAATTTTGACAGGATTACTTCCCCTCTCCAGAACAGCAGTTCCTTTTTCCACAAATTGTATTCCATCCAGGATTTGAAATAAGAGTAGTTAGTTGTAATTTGCAAATAAAAATTTAAAATTGAAGTCTGGAAAGTTACCCTAGTCGTCATTTTTGATACCTTTTAAAATACCTTTGTTTCCCTGATTCGACTCTTGGCCAAGCTACATGACGGAAGGGATGTAATTCATTATGATTTTCTCCAACTTTCTCTTCCGCCAACACATTTGAATGTGTAAGGCTAAGAAAAAGAGCCTTGGCTTTAAATTTAATCAATTAATGACCAATATATGGATTGCTTAACTTTCCCAGGCGAAAACTATTTCAATATACGCATTACACTTGCATTTTTGATTTCTTGATGGACAGAGGTGCCTCGCGGGGCTTGGCCCTGCAGCTGCACCATTTTCTCAATTTACTAATTAATATGTATGAATCATTTTTTTTATTTCGAAACTCCATATGATTACACATAAATTTCAAAAATAAAAAAAATTTATTTATTATAAACTGATTTTTTATTAAGGAATTTATGATTTTTGTTAAATTGCTTGCCTACAACAGACAGAAGTTTATACTTACTTCAGTCTGACCTTGTTGAGCCATAGCTTCATGAGCAGCACTAATTTCCTAAAATAGATATGATGAATTAACTATATGCCATTTTTATATTTTTTTGACAAAATTTTTCAGGTACTTAGGGATTATCCCATCGACCTGTCAACACTCTTGAAAATAAGCAAATCCTTTGGCTCCAACATAATGAAAAGCAATTTCCAAAATAAACATTCTAAATAGATTAAATTTATCAAATAATAATAATAAAATAATTATAGCAATAATTATATCTCATTTACTTGATCATTATATTGATTTGCATTTCCCCAGATTTAATATCAAACACCATATTTATGTTTAGAAAACATGATAATTAATAGTTTTGAGGTGTCATATTAAAGCAGACACTTTGAATTTTATTTTTACAACATGAGATGAACAAACTAAAATAAATGAACAATAAAATAATTATTTAAGCTGAATACACAAAGTCATGTAGACCCCCAAGGTAAACATAGCTTAAAACGATCTAATAAATGATCTGAATCTAAGAAGCAAAAAATAAATAAACACTATTTTTTGGGCAATAATGTTTTAGTATTAGAATGATATCTAATCAATCAAAAACAAAATATTAGAAAAAAAATAATTATTGCTATTCTAAAAATAAATATAGAAAACGAAAAAAATTCCCAGTTATGAAAATATTAATTGCTCTCTCCACCATTTTGAACTAGAACGATTCAAGCAAGAAGGGGAAATTCCCGTCATTCAATAAGGTGGGTAGGTGGAGAAGAAAAATTCATTTCCTCCTTACTTGTCATTCAAGTTGAGGGCGGGGTAGTGACAAATTCTTATTTTCTCTCCCATCATTGGCTATCAATCAAGCATAAAGGTGTGGCATGCTGATTGGGTCCTCATTATTTTTTCTTGTGTGACTGAAAGTAACTCCCCCTTCATGTTAACATTTGCTGAGTTTATCCTTTTCCACAGTATTTCTTTTTCCCCTAACACTCTAATAAAAAGGTTCCAGGAAATGCCTCTTTTACTAACCAGATGCAAAGGAAAGAAGGGGGGGGGGTACCCTTTCTGTTCATTTATGGGTTCAATGCATAAATCACTAGAAGCTAGAAAAGGAAAAAATGTGTCAAAAGATCTTTCTTTCTTTTTTTTTTTTTTTAAAGAGAGGGGAAGATGAAGAGATGTTTGTTTATTTTGATTGTTAAAAAGTGTCCGAGATATCGATCCTTCCGGATATGGGATGTTACACTGTATTATATTTCATGACAAAAGTCCAATAAACAAAATTTAAAATAATAACTTAAATTGAAACAACAGAGAAGATATCTGCTTAAAGACATAGTTGGTTGGATTGCCTAGATAATACCTAAATTTGATATAAACAAAAATTACAAACATAAATAAAAATATAATAAAAAATGAACTACACAAGTTAATCAGAAAGTTTTATCAAATCCAACGGTTGGTTAACTCATTAGTCAACAGAGCCAATTATCATCAGATCAACAATTACAATCTTACTTCAATTTTATAATTAGGTATATTGTTATTTACTTAATTTAGGAACTCTTATGCTGGCTTTTACTAAGAATGTTCTCAATTGATCAATGTACAGTGAACCAAAAAAACAACAGACCACTTTGAATAACTTTTGATCTAATGACCAGATCTTTAGGAATCAATCTTAATTGTTGGAGGAGGTGACTTCAAATGCTAATTAATAAGTGCAGATGGTATTTTAAGTTACAAAATTAGATACAAAAACATACTTTCTCTGAATAAAAATAAATTTTTTCCCACAGATTCATATTTCTAACTCCCAAAATATAGGGGGACCGCAATCTAGGACATGTGGTCCCCATAACTTTGTCAGGAGAGCGATCCAAAGCTTGGAGCCTTAATGTTAATTTTACTTTTTGCATATTTCGCCAAATCTTGAGAACTTTGAAAGCGTATTGAAAATTTTTTGCACACAATAAAAAAATTCGTTTATCCAAAGATAATTTCACACAATTTTTTAAGTAAAGATGAATTATTTAAAAGAAGTCTTATAGTTAAAATTAGATTTCTCAGGAACTTTTCAACCGATTTTGCTTAAACTTTGTATTGTGCCATGTAAAATTACCTACTTTAAAATGACGTAAAAAATTGTATACCCTACTATTCAAAATTTGCATGACTATTATTAAATAAAATAATAAAAATAATGAATATTTACTAAAATTTATTTTTTGTATGGAATTATCTTTGGATAAATAAATTTTATAATTGTGTGCAAAATTTTTTTCAATTCGTTTAAAAAGTTAAGCTATGGTGAAATACGCAAGAAATAAAATTTATATTAAGGGGTCCAAACTTTGGATCACTTTCCTAACCAAACTATTAGGACCATATTATTCAGAATAAGACTACCCCCTATATCTAGGGGGTCAGAAATCGGAGACTTCGAAATTAAAAGGTACGTTTTTGTAATTTAAAATATCATCTGCACTTATTAATTAGCATATTTACGGTCACCCCCTAAAACTATAAAGATTAAGTCCTGGAACATGAAGATCAGATCATTAGATCAAAAGTTATCCAAGGTGGTCCGTTTTTTTTTTTTTGGTTCACTGTATGCTAGTTAAGGTTGACCCTTTTTCAACTCTCTTATTCATACATGTCTTGTATACCTGCTATGTGAAACTTTTTTAATCTTTCCTTTCTTTATGTTGAAACCATCTTAACATACATTTCTTAATTCTCAACACTACATTTTTTTTACTTCTCAAAACTGGCAAAAATTAAGTTGATTCTTCAATTTTAAAGTCCTAGTTAAACTGTAAAACATATTTTTCAAACTTTAATGAACGTAGAACAAGTAGTGCATTGCTTTATATTTTTTGAAATGACTCATAATATTAAAGAGTGAAAAATTGTTTCAGTTCAATACTTTTACTTTATTTAAGTCATGTCATAAGGCATTTTTAGCGCAATGTTCGCATTTTTAGAGCATCAAATGAAATTTTATTTTACACATCATAACAATACAACTTATTGATAAAAAAATTTAAGGTATACAAAAATTTAAATCAAAAGAATGAATAAATATTATCAATAATGGCCTTGCATCTCCTTAGAAAGTTTGCGCAACTTAAGTTTGTATGCTGTTTTTAATTTTAAGAAGGATTTCAAATGCTCATCAAAAAGACAACTTTTCAATTTACTCATGATAAGATTTTCTTTTGAAAAGGTTCATAAAACTGGCAGATATTTTTTCAGTAATATTTATGCTTGAGTAAAATTTAACAGCTTTTGGGCTGTATTTTCAAGATTTTCTTACTTTTTAATGTGCACGCCTGTGTGCGTTATTTTGTGGAAGAGCCAAATTTGGCTCGCTAGCAACAGTTTGCCGGCCATTGATCGAAACAAAACATGAAACAATTCAATTTTAAACAACCTTAAGTTTATACTAACCCATAAAAGTTACTTTACATACAATAAAATAAAAAAAAATTTATCACAGTAATTCCCTACTGAAAGGCCTCAATCTATCAATATTTAAACATTAATATGTGCAGCTTATACACTAAAAGGGCCTACAAAGATGTTAGGTATGACTCAAAAATTAATACACAAACAAACATTCCTATTACATTTGAAAGTAAACATCAGTATATAAAAAATATACCTGGCTGCTCTCAAGTATTTCAGCTTTTTCTCTGGGACTCAAAGAGCGAGATTCCTCAATGAACTTTTTTACAACTGATTCAGAATCCAGACATAAACTATCCATGTTGTTAGCAATAGCATGAATTAAAGCCACAGTTCCACATGCATTTCTGATAGTTTGATGCATGAAGAAAACATCAGGATCAGTATCTTGCTTTTCAGTTTTTAATAGCTCTTCTTGCTTGTCACAATGCTCTTGATACTGTAAAATAAACTTCATACGTAAGTACATTTGTAAATTTGAAAAATAAATAATATATTAATACAGGGTGCATAGCCAAATCTTTCAGCAAAAAATAAGCACCATTTAAGAACTTTTTAAGCACCAAAAATATTTTTAAGTATTATATACACTAACAAAATGCAAAATAATTTTAAAAGACTTTACATGATCATGATAAAATAACTAGTTTCTGATAAAGAACTCTTTTCTTGATTATATTAGCATCGAAAGATTCTTCATTTTGACTTCAAAGGGTGGAAAATGAAGTCTGAAATTGAGAATATCTTGTAAAATGCAGCAGAGTTGCACATGAGAGTGCTAGAATCTCATCGAACCCAGCTTAGTAGAAGCACATGTAGACTCGCAAGTATTTTATCAACATATAAAATAATTGGTACTTACAAACGCTAGGGATTGATGGTAAGACGAAATGGATCGTGGTTGTATTAATTGTGAAAACCTTGAATATAACAATGTGAAAACAGAGCTTTTGCATAATGCAAGGCATAAAAATCATCATGATAAAGAAAAAAAATCTCATTTTCGAAAAAGGAATATTAAACACTTTTTAAAAAACCCCAAAGAAAATAATCACCTTTAACGGCCTTTAAAAAAACAAAATAAGCACCTTTAAGCACTTTTTACAAATGCTACGCACCATGTTAATAAGCAGTAGAAACTACCAGCTAGATTGAGCAATGGAAATTAGTTTTTGACAGTAAAGAATTATCAGCGATGAGAGCTTAAACTATGAGAGAATTAAATTTCTTGATAATTAATAAAAACCTATTTCTGCCCATTTTCAAGATTTATAAGAATATTTTAAGCTACTAAATAGACAACAATGAGCACTAAGTTATGAAAAATTAAAATATATTTCCTAGTATGAATTCTTAGTAATAACAGCATTTATTAAAGAACAGCAACCAGCAATAATCAAATCAACGGCTTATAAAATTAGTCATTTAAATCCCATAAAATCAAATTTATGGATAAGAAATCTCTGCACTAAAGTATTCTTAAGCAGTAATAGTACCCTTTTAAAATCTAAATAACCAATTTTTACAATCAATACTCAACATATTAATGGATAAAAAATTTTCTCATCTGGTAATATCTTCTACACATTTTTAGGGGTAGCAGCCCAATTTTTAAAAATTTTAGGGTAACTTTATGAATTTTTTCGAAAAAATTTTAGGGGTAAAATAGTAAGAATAAAAACAGGTTACACCATAGTTTATTACAAAACAAAAGATTATTCCTATTCATGTATACATATTTACATTTCAGATGCGATTGTGAGTAAAAAAATCCCTGAAATGTATGAAGTCAAGAATGAAATTATGTTTGAAGTGAAGAGCAAAAATGAACAGTTTCAATTTTACACATTATCTATCTAAAACCAAGTGTATAGTACTCAAACAGACAAAAATTAAAATAAATCAAAGTAAAAAAAATCCATACTAAAAAAAAAACCAAAGGCTTTAAAAAATTATTTATGAAAAATAGTGATCGAAGTAAGCTAAACTAAAAGAAAATGGAACTATAGCAAACTTTATTTAGCACTAATAAAATATTGACTCACTAATTAAGTCAGGGACTGATTTTTTAAATAAAGAACAATTTATGGATAAACAAATATACACGAACAAACTAATAAACATACACATTACTTTTTAATTTATAGAAATTGCATCCAATAATAATAATACTAAAATATAGATGGTTTTCAAAACTATTTGTTCTTGTTAACGGTACCCCTTCTCACCAAAAAAAAAACATTTTCAATTTACATAGCAAAACTTTAATTTTAACTTTGTATCCGCACAGATTTGTAGCGCCACCTAGTATCACTTGAAACACTGAGAGAGAGAGAGTGTGTGTGGAAGGAGAGCTGTAACGAGCTACAAAAAGCTCTCTTCCGAATAATAATAAATAAATATTGTGCATAATTATACAGTCCGCTTTTTTTCGGTTTATTGAGCGAGTTCATATTTACCTGAGCGTCGACAAACTTCTTATTTGACCCCTTATTATTCACGATCACAGTGCTCGAATACGCCATCTCGAATACCAACATCNGAGAGAGAGTGTGTGTGGAAGGAGAGCTGTAACGAGCTACAAAAAAGCTCTCTTCCAAATAATAATAAATAAATATTGTGCATAATTATACAGTCCGCTTTTTTTCGGTTTATTGAGCGAGTTCATATTTACCTGAGCGTCGACAAACTTCTTATTTGACCCCTTATTATTCACGATCACAGTGCTCGAATACGCCATCTCGAATACCAACATCGGAGATTTCACTAGCGACATTTTTTAGGCTATGAGTACAATTTTGATACATCATGCAAAATCATGTAAGTCAAAAAGAGAAATTCAAAATTGGAAATAATATAAGCACTTACATTTAGCGAAGTAAAAAATATGAACATAAATCTTAATCTAAAGAAGATTTTTTTGAACCATCATTTATAATTACTTAAAATATTTCATTTTATAACCGCCATTGAACAGCCGGCCCAATTTTGGGTTCACGACTACTAATGTTCACCTCTAAAACCTAGTAATTTTGAACCTAATCCAGAAGACAAAGAAACTCCTGGATCAAGTATTGGGAGAAATTTGCCTTTGTGGAGGACTTCTTGATGGAACTAACCCATTATTTGAGTTATATGGAGAGGAAAATCAAGAAAATATCTCACAGTTAGCCTGACTGCAAGGGGACTCTAACCCTTGATTCGTCTGCCACTGAGGATATTTTACGTTAGCACTAGGGTCGGTGCAAGATGGATGCGGAATTCGTATAGATCAGTCATCACTGGGTTTCGAACCCGCTTCACCTCAATGGAAGGTAAACATTCTACCTGTCTTGAGCTACCACAGCTTGACTTAAACTATTAACACTCAACAAACTGCAGTACTGGCAATAGCACCATCTGTTGAGGAATGCGAACAGTAAAATTTCTTCAACAAATACAGAGAAATTTGAGAGCATACGGGTAAGCAGGAGATAGTCGTAAAATAAAGGGGACTTGCAATCAATAAAAAAACAGGAGATTTAGCAGGTATGCACCAGCCACCAATTCCAGCTATTCTTTTAGAAAAATATAGTCTTGTTATTTTTCATACCAATCGTTCTGGAATTTGGTTCATTCTTTTTCCATAGTATCGATTTATACACAGAAATAATTCGTAAGATAGCATGAAAACTATCAAAACTGTTTGTTACTAGATTAACTGGAAGAAATATAAAAATGCAAACAACAACCAGCAAACACTTGTTGCCATACAGCAAAGAGCAATTTCAGATCAATCAGAATGAATCAACCGTTCCAAGGACTAACAACAACAAAAAAAGGCTTCTGAACGTAATATTTTGACAAGAAATATAAAAATGCAAATAACAACCAGCAAACCCATATTATGGATGGTTGACAGAATGTAAATAATAACAAGCTTCCTAAAACCGGAAGAAATTTAGAAAAATACCAGTGTATCCCTCTGCTTATGTTATGCTTACGAGGTGATGTGGAAACAGGCTTAATACTCTAGGAAGTTTTATTAATGTGATTTATGTTTAAATTTGTGCATAATCTTACCATTCATGGGAGTTTCCTGTAATTTAAAAATTCTAACCGGTTATGAGCCTAAAAAAAAATTTAAGAAAATTAATACTACAACACAAATGAGGTGTAAGGTTTGCCCTGTTTTGTGTGTTATTCTTTATTTGGCTATATTTGTATAAAATATCACTGATAGTTATTTTTTCGGGGTTGCATCGTGCAGGACATAGTATGCTTGTCCTTCAAATTCTTATATTGTTTTGTTTCATGTTTAGCTTTATGCAGTCAACCTTCCATACACGAGTAGATTGGCTAGTAAAGCCCAAGAGTTCTTGTTTGAGAACCCCAGGATGAACAAGGAGAAATGGGTGGGGAGATGCGTGTGACGTCTATGGATGCGTGTGACGTAAGAAAATAACCACATAATAAAAAAAGTCAATCATGCGCCTGAATGCCGATCTGATGACGCAATTGACTTTGCCCAACTCTTTCTCCTACCCCCCCAAAGACGCCACATGCCTCTCCTTGTAAAGAAGTGACAGTTTGTGCAGATTTGGTTTAAAAATGAGGGCGCAGAGTTATTTGTATATGAGTTATTCTAAAAAATTCATGCCCTGAGATTATCTATTAGCATGCCTTTAATTATTTTAATAAAGTACAAATTTTTCTCCACTTCAGATAAAGAGAATCCCTTTTTGAAATATCCATGTAAAATAGTATAAGAGAGTAGAGGGTTAAAAATTGTTGAAGATCAAATTCAGTTATTACATAATATTACACATTTTGATAAATTTTTCAATGTTTGATGAGTGCTCTTCCAAAACTTATACAGTGCCCGCCGTTCATTAAAATCACTTTTGTCTTATGCCCTTTTGATTTTATTAAGCGGCTGATTTTATTAAGAGGCAATTCAACATTTGAAAAAAAAAATCTAATTTTTACGATATATTCTAAATGCACACATTTTAAAAGCTGAAATAATGACAACATTAATGCTTTATTTCAACTTATTTAACTATTTTAATAAAGTAAAACCCCACATAACATTAAATTTACAAAATTTTTGCAAAAAACCGATCAATGGTTGCTTGAGTTGCAGTATTTAAAATTAACTTTTCAACATCATTCGAGAGTTTATAGAAGTTTTTATAGTTTTCAATACTACCTCCTCTTTGTTCTAAAGCTTGCCGCAATACATTAAATGATTTTCTGACTTCCATTGAAGATGGCACTGATGTGTTTATTTCATCTACTGAGCCTGATTCCTCCATTTCTTGATTGGAAACAACTTTGCAATTTTTGATGTCTGTAATAATTTCAGAATAAGATTTTTCTCCTGATGTTTGCAGGTTATCGTCAATAGCTACGTAACGTGAAAAATTCTTGTCCATTTCATTTTCTTCATTGCTCAGCATTTCTTCGAATCAGTTATCAGCTCCATCGCCAGTGCTTAATCCACACTTTTTAAAGCAATTTGATATTGTTTGTGTTGAAACAATGTCCCATGAGTTACGAATCAAATGCACTGATTCCAAAATAGTAAGGGATTTCGATAGTTTGTTTGCAGTTAAGAGTTCTGAAGAGCTGTCACAGTATATACCACGAATGATTTTTTGAACAACCATTTTTCTGTAATGAAACTTGAATGATCTTATGATTCCCCAATCAAGGGGTTGAATAATAGCTGTAGTGTTGGGTGGCAAAAACACTAATTTAATGTTTTTCAAACGCAAGTCCACATCAGCAGGATGCGCAGAACAATTGTCTGAAAGTAAGACAACCTTTTCATTTTTCAGCTCCTTGTCCCATTCAAGAAGAAATTTTTTGAAGATGTTGGATGTCATCCATGCGTTATAGCTGCTGGCATAACTCTGGTAGGCAGGTGTTTTACTCCTTTAAAACACCGATGTTTTAAACTCTTTCCTATCACTAAAGGGTATTTTTTTTCACAGTTCTGTCATGTTGCATGTTAGCAGCACGGTTAGTCTTTCCTTTATTTTTTTTTACATCCACCAGTCGATTAATTTTTAAACAGCAGTGTGTGTTCAGGAAGTGCTCGAAAAAATAATCCTGTTTAATCTGTGTTGAAAATTTGCTCTGGTTTATAGCCTTTGATGAGTGTTGGCCACACATTGTTTACCCAATCAGCGGCAGAGATGTGCTCTAACTCTAATTTACTCAAACAGCTTAAATAATATGGAACATGTGCACCAACAGTTTTTGGAAATCTATTCATGCTCTCTGTTAATATAGATAACAAAAGAAACTTCTCTCCCTTCTATGGTTCATTAAATAAAAAGTAAGATAAGAATTCGACCCCCAGTTGAGTGAGATAGGTTTCTCCAAACTTCATTCAAGTGAAGGAATTGACATTGATAAATTGATTTCTATGAACTCACTGCTTACCACCCACATTTTTCTTTAACTCTTACACTATGTATATCCCAGGAAAGTGCTAACCACACCTGTTTCACAGGTTTGTGAGTAACTGTTGCTTCTTACAAAAAAATCTTTAAATTTTGAAGAAAAAAAATTTTTACAAATAAGAACAAAAAAAAAAGCTGAAATATTGCACTTTTGATTTATTATGTAGTCAAAATTTGATTTTAAAAAGCGGCGACATTTATTTTATTAAACGATGTTTTTAACATGTATTAATATTGTAACGATTCTGTTCTTGCCTATTTGATTTTATAAAGCGGCCGATTTTATTAGCGGTGGGCACTGTATTGCCTTTTTTAAAGAGGCAGCGCTCTGCCTTTTTTTATTCCTAGGGAGAACTCTGTTTATATAAATCAGCATTAATGAATTAGAAAATAGGATTTTTTAAAAACACATTTTTGAAATATTTAATTGCAAAATTTCTGACTTAGAACAACTATTGTAAAAATTATGTATGAAAAAATTAAACAATAGAATTATATAATATTAATTGAAAACAATAAACAATACAAAACAAATACACAATAGTGATATAAAACATTTTTCTGAAAATTAATTATGCAAAAATTAAATGAAATATATTCTTGATTTCAATTATGTTTAGCTTTTAAAAGCATGAATGCTGAATTTAAAAAATAAAAAAATACCAATGATTTTTGACGTGTTTGACCTGAATAAGCAGAATCATTGCTCTTTCTTAGAAATCTGATGCTAATAAGCAATTGATTGCATTTATCTCTGAGTTTGTCTCTCTCTGAGAAATTGGCACACACTACATGAAATATTTTCAATATAATTAACTTACTCCATTAGCAACAAATATTTTTAAATAGTGCCCCATAAAGATATATAAACTATAGTTAAACGCTTTTCAAATAATGTCAATTTTTGTAGTAAGAAAATGTATGTGATAAAGTTTTGCTTAAAACTTTTCATAAAAGATCATTTGGCACCAAAAACTATCATTCAAGCTAAAATAATCTTTGACTTTAATTATTATTCATCATCCAGGTCATAGAAATATTTAAAAGTAGTTGAATAACTAATCAGCATAATTTAATAAAAGTCATTAATTTCTTTTAAAAAATAAAGTTATCATAAAACAAAAATATTAATACCTTTTCAGTAATAGGAAAGAGAAGCAAGACTGCAAGCACTGGACTTGGAATCATATGCAAGAACTCCTCATCTAGTGAAATTATATCTGATATACCCCACTTGAATGGGACACCCAAATTTTCCAAAAACTAAACAAAAGAATATAAATACTTTTAATAATACCAACATAATATAGAACAAGCAGATTTTTTAAAAAAATTTCACTCCAATTTCAAATTCTTTAGAAACAATTAATCCATATTTTAAGTCAATGTAAAAAATCAAAAATAATTGCAATTTTTAGGTACTAGCCAGATAAAACCTTAGCTTGCTACTATTTTCACGAAAAATATGAACAATTTTTAAAATGTTTACAGATGTAGTAAGATGAACTTTTGTTACAGATGTAGTAAGGTGAAAAATTAAAGCATATTTATTGCAAAAAAATAACATTAATTTTCAATAAGGTTGCCATACAGTTTCAATTTCATCCACTTGTCAGTAAAATAAGAAAAGCATGTTGAAAGCATAAGAAAAGATGCTCTCATACTTTTAAGACTTCATATCTGTATCTTGGTACTAAAATACTATGTCAGGTTTTAACTAAAGGTTACACTAAATGTTATACTAAAATACTATGTTAGGTATGTTAAGGTTCATTTGCAGAAATTTTAAGCAAATCATTTTAGCCAATTTAAAGTCTTACACTCTCGAAGGTTAACAGAAGTTTGAACCTATCTATAGCATGATAAAGCAAATTCTAGAAATGTTAGGATAGTTTGAATTGAAATACAAAATTTTACAAGACAAAACTTACTTGCTAACCTTAAATATTTGGTCAGCAATGATAAGGTGATCAGTGGAACAGGATGCGTAGCCAGATTTTTCAACAAAAAATAAACACCTTTTAAGTACTTTTTAAGCACACAAAAAATATTTTTAATCACAAAAAAAAATTTATAATTAGGATCTGTGAAGTAATAAAAATTATTTTTTTCAATCATTTAAAGTTCGTAATTTATGAACAAAAAATCAATAAAATTCAAAAACATTTTCATAAACTTCACATCATCCAGATAAAATACTAGTTTCTGATAAATATTGCAGAGAAAATTGGGAAAAATCATACCTTTTTTGGTAATTTAGAATGACACGACAAAGAAAAAAATCAATAAAATTCAAAAACATTTTCATAAACTTCACATCATCCAGATAAAATACTAGTTTCTGATAAATATTGCAGAGAAAATTGGGAAAAATCATACCTTTTTTGGTAATTTAGAATGACACGACAAAGAAAAAAATCTGTTTTTAAAAGATAGAAAATTAAGCCTCTTTTACAAACCCCAAATTAAAAAAGCACTGTTAAGAGCTTTTAAAAAATGTAAATAAAAAATAAGCACCTTTAAGCACTGTTTTAAAACGCTACACATCCTGTGGAAATTTCGCGTCCTGGTTAATAAAAAATACTTCACTTCAAGGAGCTCACTTTTGAATTCACTATAAGGCGTAAAAACTATTTTGAATGTTTTAAATTATTGAATATTAATTTCAGAAACAGTAAAAAACTACAAGTAAATTTTTTTTAATGAAGCTTTTCAATAAGGCCTATGCTCAGTTGTTTCTGAGTTACACTACAAATGAGTTAAGAGACATTTTAAAAATACTCTTAAAGTTGTAATAAAAATACAACGTGAAAGAAAATGCATATTGATGCAAATTTTATGAGACCCTTTATCATCAACACTGATGAGATTGGTAAAAAGAGAGAAAAGCAAATCTTAATAAATAAAATTTAAAAACTTTATACAGTAAATAATTAAATTATATACAAAGCATATACAGGAGTTATGTAAATGTTTAATTACAAATTTGAATGCACTAATAACAAACTCCTAAATAAAATGAAACTAATACATTTTACTACAAATAGATTTTAATTATACATATATACTGTTTATAGAACAAATGTATAAATTTTAGCAAAACAAAAAAAAGATAATTCATAGCTGCTTTGTAAATATAAAATTACTATTTTTGTCTTAAAATTGTAGAGATAAATAACGTTTTATTAATATAATTTTAGAAAAGTTAAAAAGTTAAATTTAAAAAATTAAAGAAATATATAAGCAGTTGAATTCATCAACTATTTAAAATTCCAAAATTTTAAAATTGAATCTTTTCTTTTTTACTATTTAAACCATAAGTGTTCTCCTACAATCAAAAACTCAAAATTTTTTCTGAACGCATTTATTGCCAATGTCACTTAGCAATAGCTGAAACATTTAAGATAATCACTATTACTTAATAAAGGCATATTATGAAGTATAGCAGAAGAAAAAACCTAAATAAATCCATATTCCAAATGAAATGTAAACAATGACTCTTCAGAAGTCATTTTTTCTTAAATTTTTTTTATCAGTAATTTAATTAAATATGTTAGAACATCAAAATTTAAGTTAAATAAATGCCAGTTAAGTAATGATACCTTAAATTGAAAACTTTGTAAAAGAAGAGCTACATAACACAATTATAAAGGCTTCAATTCTCCATAAACCACACTAGCTTTGTGGGTGTAAAATATGAAATTTTTATTTAAGAAATGTCTGTAACTAAGTAAGAACTATCGACTTTTTACGTTATTTGTTGCTATGAGGTTAAAATTTAAAAAGCAAAGCAAACCAAAATTGATTAATTTGTTTATTAGTTCTAATGTGGCAAAAAAAATTTTTTCTTTTTCTTCTGTAAATGAAACACTAAAGTATTTATTGTAAATGAAACACTAAAGAAACACTTTTGTGTGTTTTTAAGTATTTGTATCTAAAAATTATTTTAAAGCAATTTAAGATTGATCTGCTCCAAACTAATATTACCATATTTAAAGTGAAATAACCTATAATCTAACATAAAATATAAAGTGTAATGTTTCGAGATCTTTGTGCTATGAAGATCTTTTTACTGTAATAAATTGTATTCAATAACATTTTAAACAATTGATAATAGTCCCAATAAACACAAAAATGAAAATAGTTAATATGCAACTAAACAATTAAATTTTATGCAAAAGTAAACAAGAAAATTATCAAATTTATCATTTGAAAATTTAATGAACATTGAATTTGAGACATTAAACAATAATCAACATCATAAAAAATATTAAAACACTGTTAAAATTGTCTATCAAAAAAACATTATTAAAAAACCTAGAAAAATAATAAAAAAGCAATGGAATATTTGATACAAAAACTAGCTTCAATGTGGGGGAGTTGTCAAGTGTGTTAATAATTATATAATTAGAATTCCCATCTTTCCTAAATTTTAGTTTGTTGTAACTATTATATATATTTTAACAAATAGAAGTAAAGAAAAACCGGATAGTTGGTCCACTTTTCAGTTTTTATCTCATTGGGAAAACATTTCTATCAAAATTGGATTACTAGTTCAATGTGTATTGTATGACTAAGAGGTCACACATAGAGCATCTGTGACTATCTCTGAAAAAACTAAAAATAATCCCACACAATTTTGCTGTCAGTAACATATACCCGATATTTTTCTTTATAGTGCATTGAAACTGTAAACTTCTTAAATTGTCCAGTACTGTACGAATCATGAGAATCAGATCACCAATTTGATTTAAACCTGGTACTCAAAACAGTGATTCCAATCACTACTTCGATCAAAGATTTTAATCAAGTGACTCAGATCAATGAAGTGAATAATGTGAAATCGAGTATTTCCGATCATATTCGAAAACCACGAGTTAACTAATCAACTATATAACATGATTTGAATCAAATTATTTAAAACACTATTTAACTTGAAACTCACTTAACTTCTAATTACAGTTTACTTACCTAGAAAACTTTTTCCCTTTAACAAATGTTGATAGAAAAAAGGTAATATGACTCCTTGTTATGATCAATTGATTATGTTTCAATTTAATTTTCAAACATATAATTGTGATTGAATATTAGTACAAAATTTAATACAATCCTCATTGTCCCAAAATATATTTATAAAAGAGTATAGTATTATTAGTTTAGGCTTGTAATTAGTGATAAGTTTTGAACACTTTATTCACTGTGACCAAAACAAACAAGTTTTTACACATTTAATTTCATTTTAACAATTACCCGGAAGGTTACAAGAAAATCGGATTCGTCATAATTCATTTATTTAAAATTAAATTTCTTGATATGAGATTCTAAGATTTATCAAAGAATAACATTTTTACCAAGTACAATAATGTGTCGCTTTTTAATACACCAATGAGAAAAAAATCCTAACACCAAGAAAATATAATTGTACAGCAATGAAATTTTGGCAATAAGTTTGACTGAGTAATATATTTAATTAATTAAAAGTTAGAAGATCACAGGTTAATGCAATTAAGAGAAAAACTATTTCAAATATGAAACACTGTTACATTAATAACCGGTGTCATAATAAAAAAATTTAATGCAAGCATGCAAACTGGCATGCATTGTGTCATTTTGTGAGATTGAATTTGATGCCTGTTGCACTTGGTCATACAATACGGGGATAATTAATGCTGGTTGTAAATGACGCTGAAGTTGTCATCCAATGATGTCCCATACGTGCTCCATTAGTGAAAGATCTGGTGATCTAGTTGACTAAGGCAACATGTCCACATTCTGTAGAGCATGTTGGGTTACAACACCAGCAAGAGGGCCAGTGTTATCTTATTGGAAAATACCCCCTTGTATGTTGCTAATGAATGGCAACACAGGTTGAATCACCAGGTTGAAAAACGAATTTGCAGTCAAGGCATGTGGAATAACCAGGAGAGGGTTCTTACTGTCATAGCAAATTGTTCCTGAGATCTAACTCCAGGTGTAGGTCCAGTGTGTCCAGGTCGAAGACAGATCAAAAGCATACACTCACCTGGCCTCTTCCTAACCAAAATATGGCTATCACTGTCCCCAAGACAGAACTAACCTTCATCCAAAAACACGATAGATCTCCACTCTGTCCTTAAGTGAGTGTAGCTCAGCACCACTCAGGTTGTAAACGGCAGTGGTTTGGAGTGTGTGGAATGCAAGCTACAGAGCATCTCACTTGGAGTTGTACTTGAATGAGCCGATTTGTAACAGTTAGTTGTGTCATTGCAGTGCCAGCTGCAGCTCGAATTTCTGATGCAGATGCCATGCGCGGCTGTCTTCCCTCTGAGTAGTGCCACGTGGCAGCCCAGTATCTAGTCTTTCTGCAATATCGCAGAAAGAAAAACCATATTCTCACAGCCTTACTACACGACAATGTTCAAAGTCAGTGAGCTGTTGATATTGTCTTCTTAAAGGCATTCTTTACAAACAACAACTCACTATGCGAAAATTTTATGAAAAATGACTCTTAAGAACTGTAGAACATGTATTTAAAGCAACCCATGTTTACATTGGTGATACTAGCACCAAGTACGAAGCTTGAATGGACATTTTTTTAGCTGTATAAAGATGCCTACCAAATTTAGTTTATCCAGCACAACTTTTTCTTGGTATTGGGATTTTCTATTTTGCCAGTGCATTTTTATATATTTACTGCAATACAGACTTCAAAGTCTCATGTTAGGTCATCAAAAGTTATTTGAAAACAAATAAAATAATTTAGAACACCTTTTGTTGGAATATACCAAAAATTTATACACTACATTTAAAATTCATCAGTAATAAAAAAGAATATTTTATATGATATGGCACTTATTGGTTAGAAATTATAAGAATATTGAACTTAAATGTTCTATAAAATTATACCTAGAAATATATACTTAGAACAAATTAGAATATAAATTTAGAGTTCATTTTCTAGCATTAAACAAGCTGGAAATTATGGAATGCTATATAAAAAAAAAGTAAAAGCCATAAAAACTTCCACAGTTACTAACAAAAAAATTATTATACAATGTTAATAGAAAATAATTGTAATTAGAGGCAACAGAACTTATTCTGTCATTTCAAATATTCAAAAATAAATAACAGCTACAAAAAGTAAATAGTGTCTAAAAATTATTACGCAAAGGTAATAGAAAATAATTGTAATTAAAGCTTATTGTAATTAAATTTATGCTGTCATTACAAATACTAAAAAATAACTAAATGTGAAATAAATTTTTTGACTTGTTTGTTAGTCTATTTCTCAATAGAAATTTTACATTTTAATTTACGAAACATCTCTTTCATTTTCAAATAATTTGAGTCTTGCATTCATATGTATTATGGAATACTATATGACAATTTTTAATGCAATAATAGTGTTTGAACAGTGAACTGTATTGTTATGATTTATTTTTATAACTTCAATTACATTTATAAAATTTTAGTAAAAATAAACTTAAGCATTTAAATATCTGTAAAAAAAAACAAATAAATTTAAATAAAAGAATTAGATTTAACAAAATATATAAAAAAAATTTATTTATTACTTTTTTAAAAAAATCCAGAACCCTGGTTCAAAAGATACCCTACTCCAATTCTATAAGCTGATTAAATTACAAATTTGATAAAACAGGCTCAATATTTTAGTATTCAAATAATGGGTATATGTTTCATTTTTATTTAACAAAGTACAGCAGTAATTGGTTGTGCTATAAAAAAGAAGTTAAGTATCGGCTTCTGGATATTCGGTAGAACACACAACATAATAGAATCACAAAAAGTGTATTAATGAATAGAAATATATGTTACTGCTCTGGCTATAAAATGAAGAAAATTTTCGTAGAAATCGGCAATCCTACCTTATTCATCACCTGGAAAAGAAAATAATAATTAGAGTATTCAATGAAAAACAAAACGAAATTTAGAACGCAGTTCGAATAGTTAAATAGTTTACTTCAGGATTGGATTCCAAAGGTAACCATTTAATGGAAGACATAATGGAAACAGATTTTAATAAAAATAATCTACGAAAAGGTAATAATAAGACAGTAAAATATATAAATAAGAACTAAGTATCACAATATTGTTGACAGAAGCTCTAGTTTCCACTCTCGCGCGGCATGGGCAGACGATATTTTTATTTACAGTTAACTTTCAATTGCCAGAGTTTTTTAAAATAAGATTTAAAAATAAACAAGAAATTTAAAAATAAGCGGAATACCACAAAGTTTTATTTTAAAAGAATGTTTTCATTAAAAATGAATAAAATCAATTAATTTAAACTGTTGAAATAATCATTTTATTCACACTAAATTGACAGTTACAATATCGATTTAATTGAAATCGTATTGCTTTTCATTAAATTTCACAATATATAACTACGAATTCCGTTTGATTCAATTTTTTCAGTTACTGCATTTAAAGAGATGAGATGGATTACCAAAATGAATTTCATTCAAAACTGATCATATTTTATCAGTTTAAACAGTTTGAAGCATCGCAGATTGTCCACGGACTGATAGTTTTCGTTTGAATTAAATCTGATTGCGTCTGCGTAAGCTGTGGAAGTAAGGAAGGCTTGATTTATCATCATAGATGGTTACTGAACTAATAATAGTTTGATAAGTATATAACTTCTATTAATATCTCTTCTTTATCAATATGTCTCTGAAGGAAAAAATAAATGGAAATGAACTTGACTTAAGTTTGAATCAGTTGACGGAAGTTCCCGTGAAAGAATTGGTAGCTTTTCGTTCGACAAAAATTGTTTTATTTATTGTTATACGGTAAATGCATTTTTTGTTAATTAATTTTCTTTTTTAAATTTTCAGGCTGCTGCCACTAAAGCCACAATGCTCGATTTATCATGTAATCGCATTTGCACTTTACCGGTAAGTTTTTTAATAAATTATCAAACTAATCACAAGTAGTTCATGTTAGTTTTACAATTTGCTGCGTAGAGGAGTTTAATATTAGGTTTCGTAAATTTTTAAAGCACATTAAATATATATTAATCTGTTAAAACTATAATTTATTATGTTTTGTTTTATACAACAGTCTTCTTTTTTAAAGCAGGGAGGCATATTCTTTTTTGAATAACAGACCATAGAAAGGACATCACCCCTATCTCTCACTTGTGCTTAAAAATTCATTCTGCATTCTTGTTAGCTGCCAGTCTTCATTGCTTTGGAAATTTTCGAACAGCTTTTATCTTTAGGTACTCCCTTTCCTTCCCCATATTTTTCCAAGCATGATAGAAATAAGTCTGCCCTGTGGCAAAATTCTTCTCTATACTTGTGACAAATCTGACTAGTACTGATATCTTTCTACAAGACCTTTTTTAATTGTTAAAAATGTTTATGTTGTAAATATATAATAATAGATAAACTTAGATTTTGTAAAATTAGCCTACTTGTATAGAATAAAACTGCCAATAAACTTCTTCTAATTGTATCTTTTTTTCTAATCTAAATTTTACTCGTAAATTTTGACTTGAATGAACATAAAAAACCTAAAGTCTTATATTTTTTAATTGAAAGATATTTTAAAATAATGGCATATGATGACCAGGTCTAAAAATTATAAGCTGGATATATATATATATAAAAGGGTATATATTTATTACAGGGTTCCCACGATCCTTAAAAATGTTTAATATTGGTTTAAAGTTCTTAAAAGTCCTTAATTTTTCAGCATCACTATGATTTATAAAAACAATTTTTCATAGGGGACTTCAGGCAAGGGGAAGAAAGCAAGTCCTTTCATTAATATATTCTGCCTTTTGCCTAGAATGATACTCTATGAAGGTACCCAAGTAGAAGACCCACACTAACCTTCAAAATTGACAGAATTCGAGAAATTCAGTTCTACTGGTAACATTAAGAACAGAAGTATCAGAAAAATTTTTTGAACTAGAATCCATAATGAAAACTATTTCCTAAAATCTTGAAGAATTAAATAAATTCGTATAATATTTCAATGAGTAATAAGAAACTAAATTTATACAAGGCATTACATTTTTAAAATTCATGATTGTACTAAAAATTAAACAAATTTGTAAGAAACAGGGTTTGAAAAATCCCAGCCCGACTAGGTTTTGCATCAAGAACCTAAGGTTTATTGGGTTTTTGATGAAATCCAAGTTTTTTTTCAAAAATACGTAAATTTTATTTTCCTGAGTACTAAATAAGAAGGTATGATTTAGTTCTAACAAGAAAGTGAAGTAATTGATACCTATTTATAATTTGTTTTGTTGCAATGTAAAATTTTGTTATAGTGTAAGGTATCTACCACTACAAAGTTACGACTACAATTCACTAGTATATAAGACATGTTAACTCGATTCTATGGTGGGGTACCTTATCATAGATGAAAGTTGGCATGGTCTGTGACAACACTCTCCCCACATTGGTGACCTTCGGACGTGATGTGAACATGCCTACCTTGGCAGAAACTCCCATTTTGATCTAAACAAGCCTACTTCGATGGATGGTCCACATTGAACAGTTGACTTGGTACTTCTGACTGCGATATTAACAAACTCCTAGCGCTGTTGCTGCTCAGATTCAATCGTTCACAACGTATCCACTTGACTGCTAAAGGCAACACAGGAGCAACCATATTTGTGAACTTAATGCAGTTCTCACGATCAGCACTCAAAAGCAGGGTTCGCCAAGTGGGCCCACTTTGAAAAAACCCGCCCGGGTTTTATTGGGCGGGCCCACCTTGAAAAAACCCACTTGGAACGATAAGCGGGTTTTTTCAAAAAAAAAAAAATTTTTTTCTTACTAAAACTTATTGTTTTGCATTTACTTTTATATAATTTATAGTGCAGCATAAATTTGTCATGATTTATATGATTAAGTTTTTAATATCAGTAAAGTAAAAGAAACTGGAATCTTCATGTAATTTTATAGTAGGTATCTACTATTGAAAACTTCAAGTGGGTTTTTTCAAAAAGTAATATTTTAATGATATTAAATCAAATAAAAATTTAAATAATATACTCTGAAAAGATCAATTTTTCAAATATAGTTGCATGCTTTATATATTAATAAACAGGTTATTATTATTAATTCATATGTTTAAAAAAATTGAAAAGAAACAATTTTTTTCTTTTTTTACCAAGTGATACATTAACAAATTTAAACAGTTTTATTTTCTGGCTTTAAAAAAAAAAAATCTAAAACTTTTTATAAGAGAACTTTTTAAAATTATTTATCTAAAAATGAAATCATTTTCCTAGGGTTAATTATTTGAAAACAAATGGGACAAGTAACTGATACTCTTTATAATTATTCGTAATTGTAAAAGAAACTGGAATCTTCATGTAATTTTATAGTAGGTATCTACTATTGAAAACTTCAAGTGGGTTTTTTCAAAAAGTAATATTTTAATGATATTAAATCAAATAAAAATTTAAATAATATACTCTGAAAAGATCAATTTTTCAAATATAGTTGCATGCTTTATATATTAATAAACAGGTTATTATTATTAATTCATATGTTTAAAAAAATTGAAAAGAAA